ATTATTAACAACGTAAGCAACTGGTTTGGAAACCTGCACAGTTATTAGGCCTCAATGACTTTCAGAAGGAATGAGGTCCGTGATTTGTAACAAAACATTACCTGAAAATGTATCTTCTTTTCTGAGCGTTTTCCACCTAAAACTTCACTGACATGTCAACTTGGTTTTAAGAGTTCCTCTGATCTCACTTCTTTCTACTTTGCATTATTTTGTATTCTGCTGCTATCCTTCTCAAATCTCTTCTTAAATTGATCTTTTTTTCCCAGTTCTTTCTCAAATTTTCAAAATCCCTTCCCTGGCTATTTTTAAAAATGCTTTTTACTTGTACACTATCATTTTAGAGACAAGTTGACCACTGCTACACACAGGGCTGCAGATAAGGCAGCTCCATTTATTCACTCAAATCCAGTATCTTAAAAGCTGTCCATCTTATCGTCTGTTATGGATGGTTCCTGGAAATGCTTAAAACAATATTTTTAAACAGCTTGTCTGTGCAATGTTGTTAATATATTTTCCTTTTAAAACTGCAATATTCTTTAAATGAACTTGGGCTTTTTATTTTCAAGACTTGCATATTTTTTTTAACGTATAATCAAGAATAGTTACATTCTCTTTCGCTCAGCAGAACAGTATTTAGCAAGAATTTTTACCTTTTCCTAATCTGCATTGCATAATCACCATTAAAATAAAATAAACCTATTACTCTGTAAATATTTTTCAATTAAAACATTACTATTCATGTTGGCTTTCATAAAACCATTATAATTTTTTAATTCATGATTGCATAATCACGCACAGACCTTTTAAACAGGGTCATTTTAACACTTCTTTTTCTAACAGGAAGTCCACTTACAATAATAAAAATGTTCAGTACAGTGAACAAACACACATTTTTTTTCCCCTAGAAAGCTTTCTGATTGCACAAAAAACACAGAATAAACATAAACATTAGGCCAAGCCAACATTTTAAAGTGCAGAACTCCACTCGCCACACATGAATAATTCAAATAATGCTGCATAATTCACAGGCGATACTTACTAGCATTTCATTAATAATCAAAACCTAAAGTGACACAATGAGATCAACATATAACAGTAATTCAAATACATTCCATTTATAATAAGTGCTCATCTGAACACAGAACACATTAAGCATACTGTCTCAACAAGCAAGCTTTTCACAAACCACCCTTTTTTCCCTTGTTTCCAAACAGTGTGCTAACATTGAACACAAAGACACATTAAGAAACAAAGACCCCATCCTCAGTCTGGCAAGAGAGCTAATGGGGAGCGATATCTGGAAACAGGTGCATGTACATTCTTCCAGAGGTTTTACCTGAAGTCAGCAGCACTGTGTCAATTTATACTGACTGAAAGTGATCCCTTTCTTTTCCTCCTTTTCTTGCATTTACTCATCTCCCCTTAGTGTTTCGTTGCTTAATTTTTACGTTTTTCATTTTTTTTTCTCCCCAAAGAGGGAGGAAGAGGGAAGGAGGTTGCTTTAACTTGTCTTCAGCTACTAAGTTCTGTGACAGTGAGGATGGAGGGGGAACAGTCCAAGTCCTAGCCTCCATTAGCATGTTGGTTTGAGACATTAGTGCTGTTCTGAAGGGAATTCCCAGTCATCCTTCCTTAGCGAATCTTGGTTCAGTTTGCAGGGTGGTTTTGGTACAGAAGGATTCAGTTTATTTTGGAGAAAACTGCACTGGAGGCTCAGCTGTATGCCAAACATACTCTAGCCTCTAAAAGAGACAATAAGAGTCTGAACCAATTATTTGGCCTGCTTCAAACTGCATATGCAGTAGGGTCATTTATCCAAGGAAAGAGACTATATGTCGCCTTAAGCTGCACATAATGTAGATGTACAAGCCTCAGCAGTAACTGCTTTCATCTGCTGATCCTCCCCCACTGCACCAAGTATCTCGGCAATCTACACATAGCCAGAGAGTCCTGAGCACCAAAACTTCACAATGGAACCCTCAGTGACTTTCCCAAAATGGTTTCAGAGAAGTTTGGCTACTACATCCTCTGTTTCTCCTAAAACCTTAAAATTTCTGTCCATAAGCCATCCCACTGAACAAGCTTTTGGGACTACCTCAGAGGATCCCGCTTCAACTTTTGTCTTTCTCCGTTCAATTCTATTTAAGATACTGCTGTTTAAAGTATCTCCCAGTTTATTTCCTCCACTGGCTTCCTCTCACGTCGGATTCAGGCCTCTTTCCTTCACTTCAAAGCACCTCAGCATTCAGTGTAATGTTACCCATCTTGGTCCTCACTCCTCCCAGTCTTGGGCATTGCAGGGTGTCACAGGCAGCCCATGGCACTGCCCCAAGGGAGCGCTCCTCCTCCAGCTGAGATTCTTAAAAAGTTGATTCTCTGTCTCCAGTGACTGGGTACTAGACACTAATAAAGCCACAATTGAAAAGCTGAGTTTCTACCTTGTGCCTGAATTTAAAAAGAATCAAACTGCTCATGAGGCAGCCAATATTCAGATACAAAGCTCACTGGCAGCAGTTATCCTAGAGAGTCCCTCTGTAACTGGGCGAGCAGGAAAGTGTTGAACTTGTTGAAGTTTTTCCCTATTCCCAGTTTGCAAATAAGCAACTCCTCCTCCCTGACAGATCTTTTAAGAAGAAATGCTGAATCTCATTCTTAACAACACTACAAGATAGTGGGAAAACAATGAAGTTTTAACAAAGACAGTTAAGACTACCACTAAAATAAAAGCACTGATTTAATTCATAGCTCTGGAAGCGAAGAACTAGGGCACAAACACACCTTGTACACAAGGCTGTGTAATCTTTCTCCGCCCTAGAAAACATTCTTGCAGGAGAGCCAAAGCTGAAAACCATGCAACTCCCTAAAAATCGTTTCAAACAGTAACTGGGAGGATTAAAACATGTGTCTCACAGATCTTTGGTTTTGGAACGTGAAATTTGGTCAATTAAATTCATGTCAAAATTCATGAGGAAAAAAGCTCCCTGAATCAGGAAACCAAGTTAAAGAGCTGAAGACTGTATTTTCCAAGCAAGCGTGCTACTGTGTAAGTGACTGGGACACATGAAAAACAAAACGCTTAAGAAAACACCCCGATGGAATGCAACAATCTTAATCCTTAAATCTTGACTCTTCAAGCCTTAGGAACCATTGAATATGCGGATCCGAAGGCTGTGCCTCCGCAAGCACACGGCAGCGTGCAGTGCCCTGTATGGATACCTGCGCTAGCTGGCCATGAGCAAGCCCGGTGGCTGCAGTCAGGTCGTGTCTGCAAGCCAATATCCCCATCTGGTCAGTAGGGCTGCTCGGCTTTGGCCAAAAAAAAAAAAACCATACTGAAAAGACCGTACTGCTCCACACGTCCACACTAGTTTTCACACTTCAACTTGGCGCTACACTGCCTCATGTAGGTGTAAACATAATGGTACTTGAGCTCTGAAAATGCTTTTAAAATCAGAACGTTATCAGTGACGTTGGGCCAAGCACTCTCTCAGAAGAAGATATGAAGTGAGACTTTGTTTTGTGAACAGAGGGAAGTCCTGTGCCTCTGTATCACCAGGCAGTGAGATAAAAGTGTGAAACAAAGCTCAGCAAAATCAAAGGAGTTTGAAGCAGATCTTAAAACCATTTTCAACACGTTTGTAGTAACTCAATACAATATTGTCTCCATTGATACTGAAATTAAAGCTTACATCCTTTGTGTCACAAGAAAAAAATAATAAAAAACCAAGCAGCAATCCCCTCCTCAAACTAATCTTGCAAATAAAACCCCAAAAAGTCTCTGATAAAAAATAGGGAAATATACTTTTTAAGAAAGGACATCACATATATTTCCAAAACAAGAAGAGCATATTTTTAACCTGGAATTGTACAGGGCCGTAATTACGGTTGCCACATTGCAAGGCACAAAGAGCACGTTAAAGCTGAGCTGCTTTTTCCAGTGACCATTTCCACCTTGAGTCAAAGGTGGTGATGGCCAGATATCGTTCATTTCTCTTGGGTTTTTTCTAAACCCATTCACTTCCCTTACAGAAAGGAGAAGGTACATCGTATCATCCTGTCTGAACAGTCAGGAGCAAATAAGCTTGGAAAGGTTCTGCAGGAGATTCAACTAGATGAAGCACTCCCTCCAGTCCAGAAAAAAACCCTTCATTTGTTTGCCATCGAGTAACTACTCAGATATCTTAGTGCCTGCTTCTAATTTAACACAAGTTTCATTCAGCTGTTGCTCAGCTGAAGGTAATTCAAGGGAGTGGGTGGAAGATCAGGCTGGCCACTTCTAGACTTAGGAACAAAACATGTGGAAACGGAGTTTCAGCTGACAGCATCACAGAACAATGCAGCCTTTCCGCTCTCCCAGCCCATCTCCCTGTGACTACCGCCCCGTTTGGTTCTCCCACCAGTTCTCTCCTCTCTTTGACTACGAATGACAAATCTGAACTCTTTGATAATAAGGACCCTTATTTATTTATAAATAACATACTTGTTATCTAAGGTTTCTTAAAAAAATAATGTTTTAAATGAAATAATTACTTTTAAAAGAATAAGCTCCTAAAGAAAACTGAAAAATGTTTTAAATGCCCCAAAGCGCCACTGATTTTTCCATAGTTGGTGATAATATTAGAGAAATTGCATTCTTCCGTCATGTTCATTATCTGCAAAATCAATTTACTAGCACTGGCTTTTTTAAAATTCAGATGCATTACAGACAATGATAGGCTCATTGCTCTGTGTAACGCTTCCTACACTATTATTAAAAGCAACAGCAGGTATCCCCTTTAATTAAGGTATTTACCAAATCCCTTATCAATGCACACATGCTATTTTTACAGAGAAATTTAAGTATCTGTTTCCTCTAGAACTGTGACAATTTTGGTAAAGTAATCCTTGAAAGCTCTAACAAAATTTCTAATGTTTGCAAGTTTTAAAACATTGAACAAAAATGAGGTGTCATTCCTGATGATCAGGCACTGTATTCAAACAATCTTTTCCAAATCAGGTGCAGAATGATCAGCAGAATATTCTGCAAAAGGGAAATGGATTTATACTGAACTTGAAAAAGGAACCACTTGCTTTCCAGCCACATACACTTCAGAAATATTCCGATCATCACCTGAAATAAAATGGTCAAAACAGAGGTTTGCACATAAATCTATGCACTGATTTAATTAATGAAAATTATGCAATCCACAAAATCAGTTCTGGAATACATGATTTGCAGTGACAGTTTCTTAGGACTAAGAAGGTTTATTTGAAGAAAACAGTCAGGGCTACCACAAAGATCAATGGATGTTTAAACTACCAATGCTTTTTTAAAGAAATAAAGATCACATTCAGCTGCTGCAATGGTGTCGCAGCGTTTCTGTACATTTAGTAGATTCAAACCCTGAAAATACTATATATGTGTACAGAAAACACATTGCTGCACAGTATCCGAACTAACTTGGGCACCAGACAGCAGCAAAGCTGGTTTGCCTCAGCCAGCTTCTCAAAAATGCAAAAGCCCAATTAGAGAACGACACAAAGGTGGCCAGAAACTAAGACCAGTTACCTCTACGTAACAACATAATGGGCAGCGTAGCTCTTGGTCTAGACGATGCCCTAGAAAGACCATCTATTTTCTTAGCAGGATGGGATTGTTCGGTTTGGGTTTTGTTTGTTTTAAAGGCCATCTATTTTGGTTTGGAAGTAAAAAAAAAACATAAAGGCAACTGGTCTGCAGAAATCCTTCTGAGCTGAACTGGTACTGAACTGGTGATTAGCATGTCAGTGTTACTTTACTGTGAAATATGATTTAGCTCACATGGTAGATAAAGATAGGTGTGGTAAGAAAGCTGATTAATTTTGTGCATCTCATCATGTTAAACTGAATATTTAACTATGTCTTGATGAACAAAAGTCAAACCGCTTAGCTCTTACTCAGTATTTATCAATAAATATTAATAAATGTAAGTAAATGTACATTTATGTAAATAAATATTAATAGTGACAGAATAATGTTTATATAAATGTGAATAAATATACATAATTACTGTAAACAACTGTATGTTTAATTATGTACAAATAAATTTATTATTAATCTCCACATTAATTTAGGCAATTTTTGATGTACGAAACAACAAGGCAATTTTATGTGGGCTGAGAATCAGAACATACCTAGGTACAGGAACTTCTGGAGAGTGTCCTGTAAAAAAATGGGGGAAAACCAAATTTAGAAAGCATCTGCTATCCCAGATCACAATTATTTGAAGCTTGAAAGAACCGATAGAAAGAGTTTTCCCAAATATTCCTACTAACAGTAAAATCAAAACTTAATTTGAACATTTCCTCATAAATAACTTTCAGCAAGGAGGCTGTATGTCTCAGGAAGAAAACACTGCACAAGTTTGACAGTATAAACAAATATATGCCTAAAACACAATACTTCCCCTTTGTCTTTTTCAGAGTTCTCTAATTCATTTATTTATTGAAAAACAAGACAAAATCGTAAGTATTTTTAAAGTCCTAAGAACCACTAACTTAGCTAAAAAGGTTTAGACTTAAACTGGAAAACGTTTTCTTCCAGAACTATTTTTATTAGGAAGAAAATAAAAAACTTAAAGAATTTAATCTAATCCTGCTAATTGTGCCTGAAACAGGTTAAGAAACAACTACTTCACCACTTATGCCCGCATTTCTAAGTAAATGGTGACATTCAGAATAGAGACCACGATTGACAGTCTGGCCTCATCAGTAAATTCAAGTAACTGTTGCTCATTACCCTTTTACATCACAAAAGGTTTTTGTATGAGAAGGTGTGCCCATTTCATAATGCCAATGTTGCTTATATATCTCCAGAAAAACTGTGCTTTCAACTCAAATCAGCCGTTTTGAGTTCTTGCTTGAAGTTGCAGTAGCTGGGCAGTCAAGGCAACCTAGACTTTGTCTGGGAACAGGGTGCCATTTTTGAGTTTGAACTCAAAGGGTTAACTGGAACTAAAACGCTTTTTCTTGTCTGCCATTTGTGACTGCAGACAGCTACCTCTAATTGTCAGCTTGGGCTAATGAAACATGCATTAAAAAACGGTACACGCATTTTTGCTCGTGGGGATATGGGACCGTCACTGCGGACCGCAAGATTCTAAAAAAACCAACTGAACCTTTTGGGCTGAGACACTGGTAGCAGTGGTGTAGTACACCTGATTCCTGTCACTGGAATAACTCTCAAGAGACTTATTCTGGCCTTATGACAGACCTTCTCCACATAATTTTCCAGTAATTTTTTTTATTATTATGATTATTAATCTTGTTCTGATTACCTCAAAATTATCAGCGGAGAACAAGTCAAAAGGGCTGTCTGAAGCCTTCGTGTTGATTAGCAGTGCATCAAATTCTTTGCCAACCTCGAAGTTTCCAATCATGTCGTCTAGCCCTAGGGCTGAGGAAGAAAATAAGCTCAGAAACAGATCTTCAACACAAGCCTCTTTCCACCACATGGAAGCACCTGGCAACCTACTTGAGATGTTCTCAAGAAAAACTACGGGAACTTCGATAATTACAAGGGAAAATATGAACGCAAATTCAACAGTAAGTACGTTATCATCTGAGTTCTTAAGCAACTTCTCTAGTAAAAACATGTATCTTTTGGTCAATTTCTGAAGGGCATCTGTTAAGGGTAAAAGAAATCTGAGAAACAATTTGAACCCCTTTGATTTTTTTTTCTTTTAACATTCTCCATTGATTTTGTGTCATTGCACATCTGATGCATAGGCCACTGTTTAAACTGGAATAACAATCGTTTACATTGCAAAAACGTCAAAGCTCCAAAAGGGGCAATGAATTGAAGTCAGAGAAACAGTAAAGTACATAATAATAATCATGTTACTGAGGCAGTATTAGCTTTAATTGTTTACACAGTTTAAGCAACTTTGACAGGTTGTATAGACCTATTACATTAGTAACATATAATAATGTGATACTGAAAGTGGTGTGCAGAAAGGATAACTAAGAGTAATTAGCAGGAACAAAGAACAATAGGGTGTGGGGAAAAAGTCATAGCCAGATTTGAAGGTCTCACACCCATCTGTAAGGCTTGTCTGGTGGACTGTTATTTAGCTTTGCTACTTCAAAGCTGCATTACAACCTCTGGTTCTTAGATCCACAAACACTGAAAATCTACAGTTTCATCTTCAGCAACTAGGTGCTTACCACTGCTTAGAATACCTAAAGAGAAGCCTTTGTGTCTCCCTGGAAGTGACAGGATAGTTTTAAGTTGTACAAAGTATCTGTGTACTAAATCAACTTTTCCAATACTCTGGAGTTAAACTAAGTTATCAAAGGAGATAATACCCGCAAATAATTTGTTCATTTGTTTTCAGATTGCTCCTATCCAACAAAGGAACTTCAGCCTTCAGTGAAGTTTGTGTGTGGCAGGAACTTCACAATAATTTAAGATTTTTGAACGCCTCCAATTAGTGAAATATTTTGACTACCTACCAGCTTCAACTAAAATGATCTCATATTCCTTCAGGTTTGTGAGCAGAATGCAATTTTTAGCTCAAACGCAAGAGGGTGACAAGTGTTTAGGAATCTCAGTAAAGCAAATTACTGCAACAAAGAGTCACTCATTTGGATTTCTGTAAACTGTACTTGTCCAGGCTACTGGAATATTGTATGAGTAATTTATATTCTACCCTTGAAGGTGATTCAGTAAGGATAAACCAGCTCAAAAATAATATATAAAATAAACATATTACTAAGTAAACCTAAGAACCCACACAAAACAAGCACAGAGTTGCTGGGAAAGGAAATCACAAGTTCGAGACTTGTGTAAGTTTTTCTTTCTATAATTCAGCTAATTTAGTCTCACTTTTTATGAGTATGGTATATATTGTGGGAAGAAGATATCTCCTTTTTTGTTCCCTACCCATTTTCTGTCTTCTCTATTTCCCCATTACACCCTCCAGAAATTGAAATACAGTCCTGAGAAGACCTGTTTGATGACATTTTCATTACACCTTTCAAACTTCCATTAATAGTTCCCGATGATGTTTTCTGACAGCTACAAAAACGTTACACTGAAAAGACTTGGGACCTGTTCTTTGTCAGGTAGCAAGTCCATTTCTGCTAACAGAAATCGTAATAAATTTGTACTTATGTGTGGACTTGCTTTCTGCTAAATCATACAAGTTCCAGTAAAACTTTGCTAATTGTATAAATCAGTATGTGCATATTGATGATGACAAAATATGCCAGTGAACCAGAATAGCTAATATACTATATGACTATATTCTGCAGATGCAACTGTGTTTTAAACCGCCATAGTTCATATCCTGTTTAAACTTTGTGCTTTTGTCTGACTGAGGAGTGTTTTGCAAGATGTTTTGATTTGCTGGTAAGATAGTGACAAACTGCCTCACCCAGAGCTCAAAAAGCAGAAACAACATTGGAACTGATGACAAACAGGATGCATGATTTACAGTAATTGCACAGCTTTTCCTCTAAGTGTTGGTTGCTGAGAAACCAAAATCTTTCCAATTGCCGTGATAAACATACAAGTACTAATGATTAAGAAGTCTGAGGATCTTTGCAAAGAAAATGTACAACCCTGAAAAATCATTAAGATTCTACTATTAAACTCTCAATCGTACGAATACTCTTCTGTAATCAGCCTAGTGTGGGTATGAGACCGAAGGACACCTCTGCCCAGCAGATACCATTTTAGACTTCACTCTGGCACCAGAAAATCTATGAACACAGACGCCTTTTAAAGACAGGCAGACAAAATATCAAAACCAGCTAGAGTTCTCTGTGTACATCCCAAAGAAATTTCTTCTTACCTTGGCTTCCTCCTAAAGTGGCTAGTCGAAAAGCTTCTTCAAGAGTCAGCCCTGCTTCATTCACTTTATTGATCTGAAGGCTATTAGATGCCATCATTGTTCTCCTGATGGCATCAAGCATAGAAGCTGAGTATCCACCGGCAACATCTAGACGGGATCAGACTCTTAGAAACATAATTCTCTGGGTGAAATTTCTATGAGCTTTAATTAAATGTTATGAAGTGGCAGATGCAGTAAACACAAAAAGTTTTACTGCTAAGTGCTGTCTCTGCCTGTATAATTCCTAATAAAGGTGCTTTCACATACGAAGTCAGTTAAATAGAACACAACATCGAATAACAGAAATCTGAAAAGATGTTTTTCAAGCCCTGTTTATTCTCACAAGAGGAATAAATTTTTTTTCATTCAATTTTTGTTTTATTTTTAAACACTTTTGGACCAGCTCTAGATTCCAGTACTCCAGACTTCATTACTCCAGAACTAGTGGGCTGCGCAAGAAACAGCAGGTCCATAAGTTGGAGACATACTGACTTTTAAATACGAACAAGTAGGCATCTTTTTGTATCTCCCAATGGCTTCCAAAAGCAACCATTTTTACAGCAAACTACTAACCTGTGCCAAGGCCAAGCTTCACGTTGTGTTTCAAGACCTTCTGCACATTTAAGACACCGCTGCGCATCCTGGATTGGAAGAAGAAACGTGTTCTGGGTGATACACGCAGAGAAAGTTCAGGAAGAGTAGGGCTGCAGAGCCGTTTCATCACAAAGGCTCTCAGAACACGTGCAACAGATTGGGTTCATTAAACTGGGATGGAGCACTTGCATTCACACATCTGAAACATGGGGCTTAATCACTGAAAATAAAGGCAGCTTTTCACAGTTTTACAGTTATCTGCTGAAAATGAGCTCAGCATACCTGTGAAAAAATTCAGTTATGATATAAAGTATATTCCAGGAGATAGGAGGTCATTTCACGAGCTCCAGTAAGTCATCACAAACAAGATATTGATTATTTTAAAGGCAAAATGACTGTTAACATTTAGTTCAGTATCCTGGCTGGATACCATATTAATGGAAAGAAGACTTTCTAGCCCGTTCCCATTTCTCCAAAACATACGCATACTTTGGGGGGAAGGGAGATGGCCTGAATCCGCCATTAAGAGAACAGTCAAATGAAATAAAGTCCAAAATAAGAAATATTTTTATGTATATATGACACTATACTGAAAGATCACAAGTCAGTCCAGAGCATATCATGCAGAAGTGGAGCATGAATGGTCATGCTCAATCCAATATGTCACTTCTGGCAGAATGTGGTATCATATACACAGCCTTGTATAACAGTAGGCTGGAGTCAGGGTACTATGTGGACAACATCTTAGTTTAATTGTATACCATTCTTTTTTTTCCTTTTTTCTTAAAAAAAAAAAAACACAAAACTTACGAAAAATTAGAATTGGGGCAATGTGAGATTGCAGCTCCACGAAGACTAAAAAGTTTCAGCTCTTCTTCAGAAAGATAACAGGCATGTGCCATCACTGTCTAAAGAAAAACAGAATCACCAATTTACTCGATATTGCATTAATTTCAGTGCCTGTGATTTTTGCTGCACCGCTTTTAATAGCCAAAAAGACAGCTGTTACCATCAAGGGAAATTAAAGCACTCCTTGAATGAAGCTTTTGAAATCAACAGGGGAGAAACTCTCATTACCTTCAGCATGCCTGACATCACTCCCTCAGCTTTTTTTCATTTATTAGTGTAAGAAGATAGGGTGCTGACTCTTGCAGTGACTGCAGTAACCTAAGAGCTTCGACGAACAAAAGCAAGAATTCCCCTGCTGCCCTAGCACTGTAGTAACCTTATGATTTATAGTTTGTAGCTAACACAAAGATTAAGTACTAGAGCTAGGAGTACATCAGATACAATGGAAGATGCATGTACTCTTAGCATGTCTCCCATTGTCTCTCTAAAGGTTTGCACTAGGTAGATATATATATATCTGGAATATTCTCTAATTAAAATAATCTAATTTGGTGCGCAACTGATTAACGGCTTTTCTTTCCTGGCCTACATAGCTGACTTAAAAAATAAGTTCACAAGCAGTATACAGAAAACATGTAAGTATAGAATAGTAACATTTAATAGGACATAAACCAATTACTCCCAGACAAATCTACTTGGAATTACCTCACATGCCAAATGCCCACTCAAAGAGAAAAGCAAGAGCTCTGTCAGGCCTTGCAATCTGCTGATAAAAACGAGAATGGCACAGGGACTGTTTCTACTGAGCATCTCCTCATAGCACTGTACCCTTGCCGTCTCTACTCATCAAGCTCAAATGTAACTGAAAACACAACAAAACAGCCGCATCTAAAGTGAAGGACCAACATATGGTAGCTGCTGAAACACATCTCTGCCAATCTTTACCCATTTTTTAAAAAAAGGAAATAATTCAGCCACAGGTCTGAAAAACATACTTTTAAAACCTTAAAAAAAAAAATTTGTTGTCTTAGTTTTGTGGTTGGAGAAGGGAGAATGTCTGCAGTTCTGTTATGCTTGTGTTTAACAGAACCCTTCCCCAAACAACCAAGAGCCTGGCGCCAGAAAGCACCAGTAACTCTGCTTTTCTGTGATCATTTTCAGTGCTGTGCATACAAAACCTGACAGAATTAAGACCTATGTTTTTTGCAGCACTAATATTCTCTTTCGTACACTGACACAACCAACCAGCGTGCATAGGACTGTGCGAGATAACAAAGGTTAATACTGTGTATATACTCAAGTAGTCCATATTGATTTCTCAAGTAAAAAGAACTGTAAATAAGTAATTTACTGGGGTACATATTCGAAGACAGAAATAGGGGTTCAATAGCTAATTCCCAAGGAGTTCCCAGCTGCCCTTTGTGCCTCTGAAAAATCTCTCCTAAGATTTTACATCAATTTGCCTGACGTTTAAGCACTCTGACCGTAGCTAGACTGTTCCTACTCACTCTTGCATGGGCTCTCTGCTATCTAATAAGGTGTGCCCTGGTGCTCCAACCTGCACTTAGTGCAGGCTGATATCAGATCTGCTCGCATTTATCTTGCCAGCATAAAGCTTTAATGAACTTCAACTCTTCAGGCCACTGTGCCTCTCAACACTTGGTAAAATCAGCTCATGAGATGAGAGTGCTTTTGGATAGCTGAAACACTGAAGTGTACCTGTCTGTATGTGAGGTGCACACACACACAAAAAAAAAGAAAAGCTGCTTTTCTGTAGGAAACTGCCCAAAAATGAAGTTGGTTCTACCATAATACCATAGAACAAATCTTCAGGCAAAACCAGTGTGCAAGAACACTGTAATATAAGGATAATTGGGTCCTGCCCAAGAATCATCAGCTCCTAAAATACCAGCTTTACCTAGTCTTGTTCTGATCCCACTGCCTCAATTCTCTTTAGAGCCCTTGGAAAATGGATCAGGGAGCACAAAATATCTTTATTGTTCATCTCCCCTAAAATGCTTAGGAAAATCGTGGGCTTGTCTAAAGTTCCAATATCTTGATGAACACCTGTGCAACAGAAAACTTAGAACCAATTTACTTTCCCCCAGATGTCACTGACCTGACAAAACAATACAAACTTTTCATGTAACTACAGTTAACGATCATATTCTCTTCCTGGATATATCTAAGCTATGCTGTGGAAGTTTTTATGCAGCTACCTTGCTGGTAAGCAGCTTGTTTTTATCATACAATTCAGTGTAATTCTGGTAGGCAGGAAACAGGTTCTCCACAAGTTTGACTTCTTCTTCATTCTCACTTATGTGACTCTGCAATAAGAAAATACATAGCAATGAGTGCTTTAAATAGCATTGAATCTGACATTACAACCTTCTGAGCAACCTACTGGTGTTAAACATATAATGGTAGAAACTAGTATATGTAAAGCCTAAAGTTAGATCTAGTTCTTCGGTTTCTCTTCTCATGAGAGAGGTCCTTGGGACCCAAAAGAGTAGCTCCATTTGTTCCTTTAAAAGCGATATGAGACAGTATGCCTGAATGGTCCGTCTCAGTAATCTGGTGACATAACAGCCCACTTGGTATTTGGCAAATGTTAAAATAATAAGGAAAATAATACATATGACTATGAAGTAAAGGAGAGAACCAGTCTACCACAGAGTGGACTCTGGGATCAGGGCAATATATAGGTAGCTGCTCCATTTACCTTCAGATGGGCTGATTAATTCCTGGTCTCAAATAAAAGTCTCATCCTCCTGTACTCCCCTTGTGGCATGTATTTTCAAAATGCTTACTTTCTAATTACAAAATGTCCTAATGTAGGATAGCTTTAAAAGAGTATATGCTTAGAACTATGTAACCAAAAATGAAACATCTCCAAGTTTCAACAGACCTGTAAGCTCTAAAATATGTCCTTTTTAGACACAGAAAATTCATCACACTGGAACTCCTACAGCTATGTTAACAGTGCTAAACAATATACAAAGACGAGTAATTCTTTTATCTGCTGAAATCTGCTCTGTACAGAAAAAGCAGAAAGCAGAGAGACAGATTTAACAACCTTGGACTAGGGAGAGCAACCTTTAGCAACCCAAGGGTTGTTCTAACCTGCAATACTGGGTGCCAGTCGCCTAGTGACCACGGGCTGGGGCTTGCTGAATTGTGCATCCATCCAGCTACAAGCCTTCCCATTTCCTGTGCAGGTCACAATGTTCTTGCAGAATACCATTAATAATTTCAGAGGAATTTAAAAGACAGGCTCCAAGGTAAGAACATGGTTTAAATGTTTTGCTGAAATGATGAAAACTCCCTGTTTTTTTATGCTCTCTCTTCAAACTATTTAAATTGTATACAGAGCTCTCAGAGCTTACCTGCACATGGAGATCACGAGCCTGTGCTAAATCGCCAAGTGCACACAGCAAATCCTCTGTACAGGAAGGGCCAAAGCGGGGGGTTATTATAGGCTGTACCCTTGGATACTGAAAGTATTAAAAAGACATGCTTGGGATTCTACATCTATATATCAGTAACCATACTTAAGACAAGCATTTACATAGCAATTACATTTTGTCTCCATTGCCTATTGCATCCTTGTCAGTTCATATTAAGCCACATAGTCATTTCCTTATTCTTATTACAAATTTCACCACAGAAAGGGAGAATCAAAGTTTTCTTCTGAAAACAGTTTTAATGAACCTCAGTGAAGAAGTTGTTTTCATTAGAATTGTTTAATCAAGTCACTGAGATTTTTCCAGACTTCAGGAGAAGCACTGGATGCTTTTTCGTATTTGCTGACAGTCCAGTATGCATTGCAAGAAATAAGTCAGATGAATGACCAGACATTTTCTGAGTAAACTTCTGTGAATATCAAAGATGTAATGATGCAAAACTTCAGAGTTCTATAAAACCAAAGCCTTTTTCTTGTTCACTCTTACGCACCCATGGTAGCAACAAACTGTCCCTACACTCCCTAGACAGGAAGATTAGTGGTACCACCAGATACACTACACAGTAGGAAACAGAGGAGAAGACACCAAGACTAGAGCTACAGATCATAGAATCATAGAATCATAGAATTATAGAATCATAGAATCATAGAATGGTTAGGGTTGGAAGGGACCTCAAAGATCATCTAGTTCCAACCCCCCTGCCATGGGCAGGGACACCCTTCACTACACCAGGTTGCCCAAAGCCTCATCCAACCTGGCCTTGAACACTGCCAGGGATGGGGCATCTACAACTTCTCTGGGCAACCTGTTCCACTGCCTCACCACCCTCTGAGTGAAAAATTTCTTCCTTAGATCTAATCGAAATCTCCCCTCTTTCAGTTTAAATCCATTGCCCCTTGTCCTATCACTACACGCCCTTGTAAAAAGTCCCTCTTCAGCTTTCCTGTAGGCCCCCTTTAAGTACTGGAAGGCTGCTATAAGATCACCCTGGAGCCTTCTCTTCTCCAGGCTGAACAGCCCCAACTCTCTCAGCCTGTCTTCACAGCAGAGGTGCTCCAGCCCTCGGATCACCTTCATGGCCCTCCTCTGGACCCACTCCAACAGCTCCATGTCCTTCTTGTGTTGGAGACTCCAGAGCTGAACGCAGTATTCCGGGTGGTGTCTCACGAGAGCAGAGTAGAGGGGCAGAATCACCTCCCTCGACCTGCTGGCCACACTTATTTGCCTCTCAGCCTGTCTTCACAGCAGAGGTGCTCCAGCCCTCGGATCACCTTCATGGCCCTCCTCTGGACCCACTCCAACAGCTCCATGTCCTTCTTGTGTTGGAGACTCCAGAGCTGAACGCAGTATTCCGGGTGGTGTCTCACGAGAGCAGAGTAGAGGGGCAGAATCACCTCCCTCGACCTGCTGGCCACACTTATTTGCATGCAGCCCAGGACATGGTTGGCTTTCTGTGCTGCCAGCGCACACTGCCGGCTCATGTTGAGCTTCATCCACCAGCACTCCCAAGTCCTTTTCCTCAGGGCTGCTCTCAATCCATTCTCCACCCAGCCTGTACTTGTGCTTGGGATTGCCCCGACCCACGTATAGGACCTTGCACTTGGCCTTGTTGAACTTCACGAGGTTCTCACAAGCCCACCTCTCCAGCCTGTCAAGGTCCCTCTGGATGACATCCCTTCCCTCCAGCGTGTCCACACCACCATACAACTTGGTGTCATCTGCAAACTTGCTGAGGGTGCACTCAATCCCACTGTCCATGTCGCCAACAAAGATGTTAAATAGCACTGGCCCCAGTACTGATCCCTGAGGAACACCACTCATCACTGACCTCCACTTGGACATCGAGCCATTGACCACAACTCTTTGAGTGCGACCATCCAGCCAATTCCTTATCCACCGAGTGGCCCATCCATCAAAACCATGCCTTTCCAGTTTAGAGACAAGGATGTCGTGTGGGACAGTATCAAATGCTGTCCCATGATAAGTCCAGGTAGACAATGTCATTTGCTTTTCCCCTATTCACCAATGCTGTAACCCCATCATAGAAGGCCACCAAATTAGTCAGGCAGGATTTGCCCTTAGTGAAGCCATGTTGACTGTCACCAATCACCTCCCTGTTTTCTATGTGCCTTAGCATAGTTGCCAGGAGGATCTGCTCCATGATCTTGCCAGGCACAGAGGTGAGACTGACTGGCCTGTAGTTCCCTGGGTCTTCTTTTTTTCCCTTTTTAAAAATGGGGGCTATGTTTCCCCTTTTCCAGTCAGTGGGAAGTTCACCAGATTGCCACAACTTCTGAAATATGATGGATAGTGGCTCAGCAACTTCATCTGCCAGTTCCCTCAGGACTCGCGGATGCACCTCATCAGGTCCAATGGACTTGTCCACCTTCAGGTTCTTTAGATGGTGTCGGACCTGATCTTCTCCTACAGTGGGTGGTTCTTCATTATTCAGATGTTTACTTTACACAAGAATCCCTTTCTAATCCTTGCAGTTCTGGGTTAAGATTTTAATAAAAAATAGACAATGGTATTACAACTCCGCCTTCACTCATAGGCAATAGTTGTGCATGTGGCACCACTAGAAGACAGCATATGATAACTTGGTTTACAGTTTCTTACACTGTCTCCCAGATGCAAGCTGCTCAGGACTTCTGCAGATTGGCCAACTTACTCTACTAATACATATGATTTAGGCATTAAACTCTAGGCATCTGTTCTTGAATATTTTGGGACACAAATGTCAACAAACTAAGCCATTGAAAACAAAAGGCTGATAAGAAAAGTATTCCTGGTTGTAATATCAGACTGTAAACCTCTATCTTCACCTCAGGAGCATAAATCTGAATTTCTTTAGAAACATACTGGAAGATGTGCTGACTCAAAATACTGATTTGGTAATGGATTAGTAACTGTACTGTAAAAACTAATTTCTGCTGGTGATAACTTCTTTTACTAGTCTATTTATATACTACAGAGTGATCAACTAATTTTCACCTTTCTTTAACAGAAATTTGTTCTTTCTAGGAAGCTGAATATTTGAAACATATAGAGAACATGCAGAGAACATTACTCTTATGTGTGCTGACCATAAAAACTGAATTTACACTGCTACAAGTCCACTTCTCAACAACATGGCTAGCAGAACATTTTTCAGACTGATGATATGGAAAGACTGATATATCAGGAAAGATGTGTATTTATTGATTTGTCACTAAGCCAGCAAAGTTTGTCAACAAGATTAACTATTTCATATATTCACACAGCATCTTCTGAATACAGAAGTGAATACAACAGAGAACTCTACTTACTTTCTTTTCCAGTAGTTCTTTAACAAACCTGAAAAAGGGTAGAAAAATCTGTTATAAAAAGTTATAAATCTGTCATCCCTTATAAATTATGAAAAATATAGAAAATGTTTACTTAGATACTCTCTCAAGCATTTCAGACACAGGTCAATTTTTTATAGAAAGTTGGCCCAGATTCTCAGTTGAAATAAAAAGAAGCAACACAGTGAAGCCAGGATAGTTAAACCAAATTATGCTAGTTTACCCTGAATATGCAGAATTTTTTAAATTTGAAATAATTAACAGTAGGCACGTGGTAATTACTCTGAGTTCTCACTGAAAATCAAATACACGTTACATTAATTTCACTGAAAATGTAATTATAAGCTAGAGTTGCAACACTAGAGAAAAAAAACCCACACTTAAATTTGTCTGTCCATGAATTTAAATTGCAGCATAAATATATTCCATTATTTAAAATCCTGTTTTCAAAAGATGCTGCAATATTTCATATCGCACTTAGAGTAGCTGCATGTGTCCTCATTCACTTAAAGGACCCTTGATTTTCTGGAAATGCTTGTATTAATGTTAGTGTATGGATTATCTATCTTACAGAAAATACAGTCTAGATTTACTTACTTTGTCAAATAAAAGAAGCTGCCTCAGGGACCTCTACAAAAAACTCCAAGCAGTCAATATGGACAATGCAGATGAGCAAATGAAACTCCTCTGACTTTGCAGGGAACAAATTATTTGAAAACTCAGATGCACATTGTATACGGATAATTTCCAAAAGCCACTTCAAAATGGATTCTGGACAGGATCTCTGTGCATTTTTATGTCATAGTTTACATTCAGAAAAAACTGTGATTTTGGTCACAACTAACATTGAATCAAGTTTGTTAAATATCTTTAGATGGAAAAGAAAATAATGCTGGAAGTTGGATTCGCAACACCGAACCTGGTGCTAGAACACCAGATGGAAGTGAGAGACCTAAGCTGAACTTCTGCAATGACCAAAGGAGTTTGAGCCCTCCGTTGCCTAACTTTGAGAGCCACAATGCAAAATGAATTAGATATCATGTGTCTGTCTCTCCTCTTACTGATTCACCTGACATAATAATAAAATATTCACTGGAGCAGAAACTGTAACACGAGTATGACTCTCAGATGATAATTCAACACCTCCAGATGGCTTTTTGAAGGCTGTTTTCATAGAATCATAGAATCATAGAATGGCATAGGCTGGAAGGGACCTTAGAGATCATCTAATCCAACCTCCCTGTCATCTGCAAGGACACCTCTCAACTAGATCAGGCTACTCAAGGCTCCGCCCAACCTGGCCTTGAACACCTCCAGGGAGGGGGCATCCACAACTTCTCTGGGCAATCTATTCCAAAGTCTTACCACCCTCATACTGAATTTCTTCCTAAGACCTAATCTAAATCTGTTCTCCTTCAACTTAAACCCATTTCCCCTTGTCCTATCAGTGGACACTCTCGTAAAAAGTCCCTCCCCAGCCTTCCTGTAGGTTCCCTTCAGGTATTGGAAGGCAGCTATTAGGGCCCCCGGAACAATCCCAGCTCCCACAACCTGTCCTCGTAGCAGAGGTGCTCCGGCCCCTGGATCATCTTTGTGGCCCTCCTCTGAACACGCTCCAACAAATCTATGTCTCTCTTATGGTGGGGACACCAGAACTGGACGCAGTATTCGAGGTGGGGTCTCACAAGAGCAGAGTAGAAGGGGAGAATCACCTCTCTTGACCTGCTGACCACACTTCTCTTGATACATCCCAGGATGCGGTTGGCCTTCTGGGCCGCATGAGTGCACATTGCCGGCTCATGTTGACCTT